ACAGGCGCATGCTGATATAATGGGTCTACCTGGGCAACCAGATTTATGAATTTTGGGTAGTAAATAGAATGAAGGTCTTCCCAATTTACTGTCGAAAATGCGTAGGCTAGTTGCTGTTTTAGGGAGTTTCTTAGATGCTATTAATGTGTTTATAGTTTTGGTAACAATTGTGTTATTAGTTAAGATCCCATCCTTAAGACGCGGTGAGTAGAATGTACTGTCAGAGAGTTGTTTATATGCCTCTTTTGTGTACAGGTCTTTATCCCATACAACGATAGCCCCGCCTTTGTCAGCCGGTTTAATTACAATGTCCGTGCGGGTCCTCAAACATGCGAGCGCACGCGATTCCCCGGCTGTGAGGTTGGAGTGTTTTAATGGGGCCGGTTGGAAGTTATTTAGTTCGTACTCGGTATGGTGGATAAACAGATTGAGGTTTTTTGAGGAATTAAAATTTGGGGTCCAGTGCGACTGTCTTTTTGCGAGTTTATAGAATAAGTCATCTTCAATGTTGTCTTGGTTAAAACCTGAGGGATTGTTGTCGAAATAAGCTTTAATTTTAAGTTTGCGGAAGAGCTCGTGGGCGCTGCTAAGCAGAGTAAATTTATCAGTGGTTGGTCTCAGGGGTATAAATTTCAAGCCTTTATTTAGGACAGATCGTTCATCACTCGAGAGGGGGATGGTGTCAGGTATGCAGACCACTTTTGTATCGGAAGGGGCGTGGCTGTTCGCCGTCGGTTTAGGGGTAGGGCAGAGGTTTTTGAGTTTCTTATTTTTATGTTTCACCAGGTAGGAATAAAAATCTCGATTGAGTTGGTGAATAATGCAGCGTATAAGGTTGTAGAGTTGTAGGTTACATGATGTGTGTGAGTATAGACGTTGCTCCAAGGATGCTATCCTCCTATCTAGTGTTGAGTTAAGACGTTTGTAATGCTGGATGGTTAAGCGCATTTGTTGAAACGAGTATTTAGAATTTAACTGGTTAAAAAGCCTACGTTCATATGCATTAGGAGTGGAGCATGAAGGCCGAAAGTTTATTCTGAAACCTATTGGTATTACCCGCCCCTTCCGATACAAAAGTGGTCTGCATACCTGACACCATCCCCCTCTCGAGTGATGAACGATCTGTCCTAAATAAAGGCTTGAAATTTATACCCCTGAGACCAACCACTGATAAATTTACTCTGCTTAGCAGCGCCCACGAGCTCTTCCGCAAACTTAAAATTAAAGCTTATTTCGACAACAATCCCTCAGGTTTTAACCAAGACAACATTGAAGATGACTTATTCTATAAACTCGCAAAAAGACAGTCGCACTGGACCCCAAATTTTAATTCCTCAAAAAACCTCAATCTGTTTATCCACCATACCGAGTACGAACTAAATAACTTCCAACCGGCCCCATTAAAACACTCCAACCTCACAGCCGGGGAATCGCGTGCGCTCGCATGTTTGAGGACCCGCACGGACATTGTAATTAAACCGGCTGACAAAGGCGGGGCTATCGTTGTATGGGATAAAGACCTGTACACAAAAGAGGCATATAAACAACTCTCTGACAGTACATTCTACTCACCGCGTCTTAAGGATGGGATCTTAACTAATAACACAATTGTTACCAAAACTATAAACACATTAATAGCATCTAAGAAACTCCCTAAAACAGCAACTAGCCTACGCATTTTCGACAGTAAATTGGGAAGACCTTCATTCTATTTACTACCCAAAATTCATAAATCTGGTTGCCCAGGTAGACCCATTATATCAGCATGCGCCTGTCCTACTGAAACTATATCATCCTTTCTGGACAGCGTGTTTAAACCCAGAGTTGAGGCACTACCATCGTACCTCAAAGATACCAACCATGCGATTTTAACTTTAGAATCTTTAAAATTCACTAGCAATAAACCGAGATTAATTTTCTTATTAGACGTGGTGTCGTTATACACCTCGATACCCCACAAAGACGGTCTACTAGCTATTAAACACTTCTTTAATGTGAACCCCCATCCCTCTATTGACAGTAATACCATACTTAGATTAACCGAGTTAGTTCTCAACCTCAACTCGTTCGAGTTCGATGGTCAGTTTTTTTACCAAATAAGTGGGGTAGCTATGGGAACTAAAATGGGTCCTAGTTATGCGTGTCTCTTCATGGGTTACCTGGAGGGTCAAATCCAGGAAAAATACACTGGCAGAATTCCATGTTTTTATCGGCGGTACATTGATGATGGGTTAGGTATCACAGAGATGGCAGAAGAAGAACTGCAAGATTTCATATCATTCTGCAACAACTACCACCCAAACATTAAATTTACCTCTGAAATTTCAGAGAGTTCTGTTAACTTCCTGGATATGACAATATCGCTTAACACAACCAACGTTGGGACGACTGTATATTACAAACCAACCGATTCACATTCATATCTGCTTTACTCTTCGTCACACCCCCCGGCCTGCAAAAATTCTATACCATTCTCACAATTATTAAGACTGCGACGTATTTGTCAAGATGATGACGACTTTTGGATCAAGGCCCATGAGCTACTACAGTTCTTCCGACTCCGGTCATACCCGGAGCATATACTTCAGTCAGCACTACACCGCATAACAACTGTTGACCACCAAGCCTCCCTTCAACAATTTCCAAAACAAAAGTCAGATAGAACTAAACTCATCTTACCCTACCATCCTCATTCAGTTTTGGCTAAAAATATCATTATAAAAAATTATTCTATCCTCAAGTCAGACCCCCATTTAGGCCATTTGTTTCAACAGAATCCTTTGGTTGTGTATAGAAGGGAACGCAACCTTAGAGACCTTTTAGTTCGCAGCCGCCTGCCACCCACTACCAACACCGGTTTTGGCACCACTCCTTGTCCCCGTAAATGCAATACCTGTCATTTCACCCTTCAGGTTGAATCACTGCAGCTGCCGAAGGGAACCCTCAAAATTAAAAATCACTTCAACTGTGAGTCCCGCAACGTAGTTTACGTCATCCAGTGCAGGCGTTGCAACATCTTTTATATCGGACAAACGGGGAAAAGATTGTCTGACAGGGTTAGCCAACACCTGCGATCAATCAACAATGAAGACGGTCTCCCTGTGGCCAAACACTTCAACAAGAGTGGGCATGACTTAAAAAAGGACTTTTGTGTAACCGCCGTTCGGTTTTGCCACAATTTTAAAAATCGCCTTAGCACTGAAACGCGACTAATACTTAAGTTTGGTACACGGGCACCCGATGGCTTGAATGAACAGATATCTTTCACCTAACAACCCCCCCCCTCCCGCATACACCACGCCCCCAGCCCCACCCCTGTGCGGTGTCCAGGCGTCCTTCTCACGCGTCTTTTCTTTTGGATATCGTGGCTAGCAGACAAGACGTGTTTTCACTGTCGAGCTAAGTCAAAAAATGTGTTACTGTTTGTCTTTATTTGTCTAATCTGTAATCACACTGTTGTGTGCTGACGAAGACCTTGGGTCGAAACGTCCATAGTACTTGTAACTGTCTTTAACTTGTGAGGTAACTAATACTATCTGTTTTACTGCTTACGTAACATGCGCTATATTAGGTGGCCAGAAAAATGTGCAACGGAAAAATCCTAAATCGAAGACTGCGCAATAAAAAAAACACATGGGAATTTATTTGAATCGATAATTCTAGGAAGTTTAGCAATCATAACATGAGCAATGTAGCTGACGTTACGTTATGTTGGGGGGGGGGGGAGGGTGTTGGTGTGCTGTTTGTCAGTGGCGAACTATATATATATATATATATATATATATATATATATATATATATATATATATATATATATATATATATATATTAATGTGTGTATGTGAGTGTACGTGTGTGTATGTATGTATGTATGTATTTATGCTTTATATCGGTCACTAGCCCTTAACAGTATTTATTTAGTTGTCACAAAATTAAGTAAATCATTTAAATCAGTCTGTAAAGCCAGGCCGTGGTCCATTGTCGTCATTTTGGCTGTGCATCAGTCAGTAATGCAGCTCAAAATGAGCTTTTTTATTATTATTTTGCACCACTCCCCCCCCCCCCCCCCACTAGATTCGCCACCACACCAGCCATCCCCTAACTGCGCCTCTGCTTGTCGTTAATGATTTTATGGAGGTGGGTGGGGCCAGTGGGGGTAGGATGATGTTGTGACTGTGGTAGGTTGCTGATGTGTGAGTAAGATGTTATGGAGATTGTTGGGGAGGGGTCGTTGCGTTGACAGAGGCCTACTTGTGCTCTGATGTCTAATTGGAAGATGGACTAAGTATGTTACACGTGGAAACTTGGGTAATCGAAATGTCGGTGAATGTCATTAGCCAGATTTTATATGAGAGCTAAAGACATAAGCCCGTCTTAAGATGACCGCTAATGACATAGCCCTGTTTAAAACAAGACAACGTAGAACACAACCTTTTCTCATATATCGACTACAGCTTAGTTTTATTATTATAATAATCAAAAGAAAATGCTTCCCAAAACTTGGAAAAACTGGTAATCTATAAGGCCATTATTAGAAGTAGTAACCATAATAGAAGTGGTCAATGTTCAAGTAATGACAAAAAAAAGAAAAAAAGTTTTCGCCTTGTAGGTAGATCTAGATTGTTTTTCGAACTTTAATGAGATCTAGAATCTAGATCTACTTAACTTTGGGTGGGTTCTTTTTTTTAAAGTTGAGCAACAGTTTGTATTATTAACTCATGAACTAAATATAAATAAACATCTAAGTTTTAATAAATCTAGGTTAGATTCTAGCGTTAATAAAAAATAAAATCTACAACTGAGTAATGAGTTAGATTCTAGATCTAGATCTAGAATCTAGAGCCTAATTAATATAAATTATTTTTAGATCTAGATTCTAGTTTATCCGAAATTAGTAGGCTAGACATTAGTCCTACTTCTTTTTACTTTTACCAAATATTTATATATCGAGATCTAGATTTAACTAATTTTGCGAAATAATATTTAGATTTTGGGGAAAGTCCGTTTCTTCCAGGAATTTCGATCGACTCATCAAATCAAAGCGGATCTCTATTTTAGTATTTACATACATTCTAGAATCTTAGTAAGTAGTCTAGAATTACTAGATCTAGATCTAGATTAGATTTAGTCTAAGTATTAAGTAAGTAGCAAGTAGAGATCTGATTTCTATCTTAGATCGATCTAGCTTGTAGAATATTGTAGATTGATTGAAATTACGAAGTGTCTATTCACAGCCGACTGTGAATAGCCGTATTGGGGCTATTCACAGTCGTGACCGTTTTTGATAGACTTAATGCTAAAAATGCCCAACACGGTATGAAGATGTGTGGTCGATCGGTCATGGGGAGAGCGGCTGTCATGCCAGAAGTAGTGGGTTCAAATCCATCAGATGCCAATTGGTCTGCCTCTTAATCTTATATTTCAAAATATTTTTTCACAATAAGATTCTACTTGAGTTACTCATGGAAGGGTTGTGTTTGTTAATTTTTTTTCTTTTGTGACGTAATTGTTGGCATATCAGAAAGATTTTTGCTAAAAGAAAAAAAAAATGTGAAGGAAACTGAATAATAGCTGATGAAAAAGGACATCCTATTTCACCTGATATTTATTCTAGATCTAGATTCTATGTGATTATGTGAAGTTTTAAAATTTTTAATGGTAATTGATAGTTGAATAGCAATGTGAACAACCAACTAATCTGATGCTTAATTAGTATTATTTATTTAAAAATTACTGGATCTATTATTCTAGTGTATAGATTTAGAGTGCATAATTGATCATCTATCAAATCTATGACCTACGTAGACGTAACCTGTTTGTGACTGTAGCAGATATGAGCCTAAAAGTTAAACTAAACTTTAACGGTAATATTAGTAATAACTTTTTTATAAAAATATAACAAAATAAAAATAGCACTGCTCTCTTAATCTATACCTCACTCCCCAATCACAATAAATACTTTTATTATTTTAAGATATTATTCACAGTCGTATTTACCATGAAATGACAGCCGACTGTGAATAGCCGTATTGGGGCTATTCACAGTCGGCTGGGAATAGCCCCAATACGGCTATTCCCAACCGGCTGGGAATAGCCTTGGCCTTGAAATTATTAATTATAGGCCTAATAGTCCTAATAGATCTAAAATCTAAAACTCTAGATCTAGATTTTCTAGATCTAGATCTAGATCTAGAAATCTAGATCCTAGAGCTAAAAATAAAAAAATAGGGCCTACTACTAGTCTAGATTCTAGATCTAGATCTAGATAGTTTAATACTAATAGTCTAATAGTTAGATGACTATAGATAGACTATAGACTAGAATAGGTAATCTATCGTTTTGGGTACGTAAAATCGCCCGCGACTAGTAATGTGAAAAACAGGTGACTCCTTAAATTTTAATAATTATTTCACATTTTGAGGAGGATTTATGTTTTGAAAAATACAAAAATGTTTCCTTGTTTCATTTATGTACCTGTTTTTAAACAATTGAATTAAAACTTTTCAGTAATAAATGAACACCAGCGATGTTTCCAACAGATGCAAACATGCTTATTTATTATAGCAGCCATCTTGTTAAAGTTTTATTTTTATAGACTTATAGCGCGAGATTCAGGCGGAAGTCACTCTATTTTACAAATGGCTGCTGTTTATATAGCAAATCTTGCTTGCAGACACTGATGTTTAAAGTTAATTTCTGGCCTATATTAATATATTTAGCCATTGATTTAGGTTTATTATTCATTTATCTATAATATTTGACACAAACATATCAAAATATACTTCTATTACAGCCTTGACAATGAGGTAACGTTTTCGTACATTAATAGCCGCGGGCGATTTTACGTACCCAAAACGATAGATTACCCTAGAATAGATTCTAGATTTAGATCTAGACTAGATGATTGTAGATGTAGATCAGGATTCTAGATCTAGATCTTAGATCTAGAATGACAGATAAGATTAAGAATCTAGAGTATGAAATGAATGGATTAGAATTAGATCTAGAATCTAGAATTCTAGATCTAATTCTAATCTAGATCTCTAGTCTGAATTAGAATCTAGATTTAGATAATAGATAGAATCTAGATCTAGAAAGGTACGTAGTAAAATCGCCCGCGGCTAGTAAGGTACGAAACAGTTGTCAAGCAAGGCTTTTTAATAGAAGTATATTGTGATATATCTGTGTCAAATATTATAGATAAATGAATAATATACTAATAAACCTGAATCAACTGTTAAATATATCAATAGAAATTAACTTTAAACAGAAGTGTTTGCGAGCAGGATTTGCGATATAAAAAGCGGCCATCTGTAAGTTAGAGTGGCTTCCCCTAAATCTTGCGCTAAAAATTAGGCCTACAATAAAAAAATAAATAAACAAGATGGATGGTTGCATCTGTTGGAAACATCGCTAGTCTTCATTTATTACTGAAAAGTTTTAATCCAGTTGTTTAAAAACAGGTACATAAATGAAACAAGGAAACATTTTTGTATTTTTCAAAACATAAATCCTCCTCAGAATATGAAATAATTATTAAAATTTAAGGAGTCACCTGTTTTTCACATTACTAGTCGCGGGCGATTTTACATACCTTAAACTATAGATTACCATTAGGCCTACTTCTTGCTTACTCATTTACAGACATTTAGAATATCTAATCATTCATTCAGTGAAGATCTAGACTCTAGATCTAGATTAGAAAACAACTACTTTCAAGCTTTTAATTTTAATAAGGGCCTAAAACATAGGATGCATCTATTTGGACCCGAGTCCCAATAGCCACTGCTGCCATTGGGACCCGGGTCCTATCAGACTCTGCCGCTATTGGGACCAGCCATTATACAAAAATTCTTTTAAGATGCAGAATATAATATATCTTTTCTGTTGTGATTTTTTTCCTTGTAATTCTAAATGATACTGAGATCTTACTTTAAATACTCGATATCATTCCAGACAAATTTTATGGCGAGCGGGTGTCGTTAGGTCTATAATATAATTATGGCCTATGAACTTCTATGGCCGAGCGAATCTTGAGTATATGGATTGTATTTTATTGCACTTTACAAAAGTCTTTGACATGTAAAATAATACCAGTTAAAGTTAAGTTTTAAACTTATAGTATTTTTTTTTTATAAAATACAGAAGTGTGACATTTCACTTTCTGTACCTTTCCCCTCGTCGTACACTCTCCCCCCTAGGATTGTATTGTTGTTTATGGGTGACCTCTTGTGTGGCTAATCCACAGGCTCTGTTTTAACATTTTATGTCGTTTTTACAAGGAAGAAAACTTTAAAGTGATTCATTTTAATTCAGCTTGGTGCTTTACTTGTCTTCTCCGCAGTTATTCACAAATGGCTACGGCTCTGTTTTTAACATTTTATGTCGTTTTTACAAGGAAGAAAACTTTAAAGTGATTCATTTTAATTCAGCTTGGTGCTTTACTTGTTGCTCCGCAGTTATTCCCAAATGGCAATGGCTCGTACATCAACTAAGCAGGATATTGTGAAGTTGGTCGATCTCTTTTTATCCACTGACTTTGATCCTCTACCATGTAAGTTTTTATTTAAAATCTTGAAACGCTGGTAGGTATTTCAGTGTTAATTTCTCATTCAAGTCTTTACTTTGATTTGTTTGACTGTTTCATCATTAAATACATTAGTCGAAATAAGTTCTTTATACACTCACATAAAATTTTAAATCTCTCTAAATTGATAGAAAAAGAATCATGTGTATTATGTCCGTGAAAAATGTATTTGCTAATTTGGTATGATGAAAATCTTATTTATTTAATTAAAAAATATATGCATGTGTTGTAACTGATTTTAATTTGATTATTCATAGCGCTTAATTCTGGAGTCAACTTGAATAAAGTTTATAAGTTTCAATTTGAAGCAGACCTTGGTGATGAAGAGTCTGATTCAGTGGTTCAACATTATCAGCATGATGGTTTGTAAAGTTTTTTCTCTACTAGACATAACTTCACAGCTTAAATTTAGATATAAATATAGCTATAATTGAAAAAAAAAAGATTTTTGGATCTGAAAAGCAAATTATCAAATATAGCCAAACTATTTGAAATTAAAAACACCATTTATAAACAAAGTAAAATAAATTTTTTATAAAGAAGTTTATTCATCATTGTCTCCAAACATTGTTCTTTTGTTTAGTTAGAATAAACATTTTACTTCCCAGTTATAAAATACTAGGCATGCTGCCCAGCTTCGCGTAGGCTTTCGAAAACATTGAGAATTTGAATGCTTAATTAATTCGCCCGAGGGTCTGTCTACAACCTCAAAAGTTATGAAGAGGTTCCTAGGTGGACAAATTTTTTTCGATTTATAGCTCATATAAGGCGCCGATCAGTCGAGGTCAGTTTTGACCCCCTCATCGTAGACTTTTCGGCCAACCGGCCCCGTGTTCTGTCGTCCCAAGGAAAGATCCTGCCAAATTTGAAACGCCTGCGGCGCCGGGAAGTGCCCTATCGGGCACCCGACAACTTTGCTTTATATATTATAGAGATTAGCAAATTGCATAGATAAACAAAGATTTCAATAAAGTAATTAGGCCTGAAATACTTTAGTATAGAAATGTATTATTTGAATAGATTCTAGATCTAGGTCGGGTCTACATCTGTGTAAGTCTAGATTTTCCGTAGATCTAGATCTAGATCTAGAATCTCTAGATCTAAATGTTCTAGAATATCTAGATCTAGAATATCTAGATCTAGAATCCTAATAGATTTTTTTTTTAAGTTTAGCCCGAGCAAAATTGTATTGTATAAATTTTATAGAGTACGTAGATCTAAATCAAATTTGAATGAAATAGTTCATTTCTTTTTATTCTAAACACGGCAGGTGACGTCATTAGTTTATGTATAAACATTAGTGACGTCACTATTTTATGCATTCTTTTTCACAACTATAAATGCTTTTCCTGTTGCATAATTAAAACTGTTTCTCTACATTCGAATACGCCTTTATTTTTTATTTTTCTTCTTTAAATAAAATTGTGGTTATACATTTAAAGCATCTAACATATTATTTTCAACAAAAGTCCGTATAAAGGTATCCATATATCGCTGCCAATTCTGACGTGATATCCGGCGAAAATATTTTGCGGACAGAGAGAGAGAGAAGTGCGCACATGGGCTATTATATATTAGGATGTTTTTTTAACTTCATTTTGTTACATTTATGAAACAAGTACATTTTTAAACACTTATAGCTGTTATAGCTGTTGCAAAAATAAATTCAGCTACTGAATAATTTTAAGAAACATAAGTCTAGTTTATCTAAAAGTTAATTTTTCATCAGCTTTATATTTTATTTCAGATTATTTACTCCGTAAATTTGGGCAAAAATTGGCCACAATGGGAGATGATTTCCTCAACAAAAGGGAACCTCAAGCAAACAGATCAACTGCGCAAGCAAAATGTAATTCTTACCAAAAATTTTAATGGAAATTTTTCGGTCATTTGCCAGTGTTTATTCTTCTGAGAAGAAATGGTACAGTGGCATTGGCTGGGGGGGTTATAACATTAAAATTTTAAATGTTAACAACAAATTTATGCTTTCTAAAATCATTGTGGAAAATATTAAAGCTGGATCAGTACTAAAATATTTAAAATATTAATGTTGTAATTTGACGTCAGAGCCGGCGTTAGGAATACGCGGGGCCTAGTGCCAACCATCCGCGCGGGGCCTGCTATTTTCCTTTATATAAATAGCCTATATATATATATATTATACATGCAAACATAATAACATAATAACACTATCATAGCAGATGTTTACCTCTCCCACATTTTACAGAATGTTCTTAATTTGTTTTTTGTTTTTGCTAAGATATTAAATCACTTTTGACAGTTATGTAATCCATACCAAAACACTCAAGGAAATTCAATGACATGCCAAAAAATTAGGACAAAGTTGTTTAAAATGTTTGTTATTGACCAACAGTTAATATAAAAGTCAAGCGTTTTAGGTGTATTTAAAAAAGAGATTGTACTGTTAGTAACTTAGTAAGCGCAGAATTTTAGACAAATTACAATATCAACAATACAAGAGTAAACAAACAGAAAACGGTAGCTTTTGGACACAACAACACTTTTACTTTCTTCCGAAAAAATAAATAATATATCACTCTGTCGAATGATCTTCCCACCCCCCACCCCCTCCCAATCCTTATGCCCACCACTGTATATTAATTTTGTTAAACCAAGACAAGTAGGCCTACATATACCACAACTACAACAAGAAAGTCAGGTCTAGCGTTTACTGTCTACTACAGTCTGTTCACTACAAAACGTCTTCATCGGGCCGCATACAATCGGGTATCTGATTACGTGTTTTCCAAATGTTCCTCCCTGCTCTGGTCGGGGGGCTAATTCGAGTCCACCCATCTCCAGTCACCTCAGGTCAAATGCGAGGCGACCGTACCCTTTACACAAGGAGGTGTGTGACACTAGAATTTACGGCCTGTCCCAGTTTAGGTGGGTGATAACTCACTAACATCAACCGGGGCCTCAGTTTTTACTATCAACAACGTCGGCATTCAACCATTGTCTTTTTCCCAAGTGAATTCAGCAAGAATTATTTAAGTTTATTTACAAACCAATTCAGACAACAATGGCGGTGCTGAAGCACGGGGCCCCTTCAGGCGCGGGGCCTGGGTCGACCACCCCGTTCGCCACACCCAAACGCTGGCTCTGTTTGACGTCTTAGTTTGGATGTAACATTTTATTATGTACAGGTAAATTTACTTAATTATGATTTCATTACTAAGCACTGACAGGGCACATCAACAGAAAGCAAGAGTTGATTGCCGAGGACGTTAAAAGAATATTCGTGCAGCTAGATGCGGTGTCCAGTAAACGGGTATGAAGGATAAGATTTATGCTGAGATGTTGTGGGGTTATATGGTTAAATCCTGTGATTATGTGGCTAAAACATTTGATTGTGTGGCTAATATGTGGTTTAATTACAGGGTACAAAAATAGCAAACAACTAATCCCTGAGTGTCTTATTAAAATGACAAATAAGCTTCAAAACAAAAAAAATTGTAACTTAACAATGGTGTCTATAATCAAAAGTAGCTATTTTGACAGTCTAGTGATACAGTAAGGCAATGTATTATAAATATAGTACTCTAAACAGTTTACAAACCTTGATTTTGTTTCACTTTATCTAATTAGCCCCCAAAGTAGAAGACTTGAAACTATGGTATAATTTTCTTTTCATTTTTCCTAGTCCCATGGTCAACAGGAATATGACAATGCTAAGGAGGAGGCTTATGAAAAGTTCAAGGCCATCATTGAAAGTTCCATTATCAGTACGGGTGCGGATGACATCTGGAAAACACTGGGAGCCTTCCTGTTGACCTTGAATGGACTGTCTCATCTAAAGGAAGGGACAAAGTCACTTCTGCGCACATTGTCAATCAGGTTCATAGAACAGAGGCAGCTAGATCGAGATATTGAGCGCATTGGTGGTCTGGTCAGTGTCATTTATATAAAGTTCATTCATTTTTAGTTCATAACACAAGATTCGTAACTTCTTACCAACTTCCCCTTCCAAATTTTTAATCAGACGGTCTAAGGGGCAAGTGGAGTACAGTTCACTTGTTTCTGTGACCTCGGCATTTGAAAGGATAGTGTGGTCAGCAGTATTCTCAGCCGCCTTTACTTTCCCTAACATGAGTTAGGTACCAAACGGAGCTGGGTGGACTCAGGGACAGTGTTCTGATTTGAACCTAGATTCGAACTCCAGACTGGCTGGCTAGCAGTTTAGCTCTCTACCCCTAGGCCACTCCATGCCCTAGTGATTATATAGGATATTTATATATTTGCCTCTTGAGTACCCAAGAAGTTCAAGTGCACAAAATGTCCCTCTGTATGTCTGTTTTTTCTCAACCTGTTACTTCACAGGCATTGCCAACATTTACTTCCTGAACAGTTGAGCTCATTGATTTAGCATTTTCAGCCGTATTTATTTAAAAAATTATTTTACAACATCAACAAGGATTTAAAATTAAAAACCAAAATCACTCTGCAGGAAACTGGAGTCTTTTGTCTGGTTCTGAAAGGCATATAGATTTACAAACATTGAATATAAATGATGTTAAACGTAAAATACATATATATTTACTTAAATGCTATAAACCAATTTTAACTTAACTGGAACTAGATTATTTGTCAGAACTATTGTGTAATTCTTATTTTAATTAAAGCTGAATTGGTTATGAGAGGCTTTTAAATTAGTGCTACTTTCAAAAATTTCACTGTACAGAATTCCAATTAAAAAGTACGAGCCGACCCGCTATTTAGTTGTTTTATTTTCTACTTTTCAGTAATTCATAATTTGTGAATTCGACAGTACCAATGCTGCCACTGAAAATATTTGCTTTAAAACACTATCAGTAGTTCGTTGAGCATGATACTACCCCCACCCTCCTTTCCCCCAACCCCTACCCTACACCAACCCCCCCCCCCCCCCCCCCCCCCCCAGTGAAAGCAGCCTCCTCTTAGTTACCTCCCCTAAGTTTAAAATCGTTTCAAACTAAATTATCTGCCCCTAGTAACCGGCACTAAACCCGGCTCTACGACTGTAAACATTTAGCGTAAACCAAAGCTCACCAGACCGTGTAGGGGTGAGGTGGTAGGGAGCACGCTTACAGCTTGTTTTCTAGCGTCTCCCAGAAGAGAATTATATATATAGATAGGGAATGAAGGGTTAAAATTACAGATTATAAATAAAGTAAACAAGTAGTTGTGAACTTTTAATACTGTATTAATATAAAGAAATATTGTTTCTTTTTTTTTTTAGGAAAAAATGTATGACGAACTAGATTAATGACTACTGAAAGTAGGCCAAACTTTCTACATAAACCACTGCTGGATTTGCTGACACTTATATTGCATGCAAACTTACAATTCTAGTGCCATTATTTTAATTTGTATACTATATTTTTAAAGTATTTATTTTTAACTTATATGAGAGAGTGGAACTGAGAGACTGGGTATGTATACTCCTGATTTTAAATCTAGTTTTGTAAAAACTTACTTAATTTGACTCATGCTGCTGTTTAAGAATCAAATTTTGTGTTCTCACTACATGTTTAGCTGGATGCATGGTTCCATCACTTGGTTAACATCAACTCAAACTTCCATCACAAAAATTGTATTGAATCAAAAACAATTTTTACTTGTGAATATTGTACTGAATATTCCAGTGTTATAAACTGTTTCCCTGTTAAATAGTCTGGATTAGACCAGTATTACGAGTTGACAACAGATTTTCTGATGTTAAAAAGTTGTCAGCAAATATTGTACCTGTTGAAAGATGGGAATAATATGACTGAAGTTTCATTTTAATAAAAAAAACAGCACAGCATAAAATATGATATTGTTTTGATAATTAGCAAGTGTTAATGTAATTTATTGTAATTGAAAAGATGGGCATAATATGATTGTAGCTTTATTTTCCTAACTAATAACAGCTCAACATTAAATGTGGTGTTTTAATATGAAGTTTTAATGTCGTTGATTGTGATAAAATACATTTTTTACCACTGTAAAATGTTGTCCTATTTATTTAATTCACTGTAAACCTTTATTAACACTCACTTTTTTATTTGTAAATATTATTTTATCTGTAATTTAAGTTAATCTTTCAATACTTCTTATACATATATTTCTCACTAGAGAAGAGCATAAATTTGTGTGTTGATCTGTTTAAGTTAATTAATATCAAGTTGTATCTTGCACTACCATCCACCATATAGTTTTATTGTATGTTGACTTGAATCTATACCCTCCAACGTAAAGTTCTAATGTATGTTGACATGAATCTATACCCTCCACCGTATAGTTCTGTTGTATGTTGACTTGAATCTATACCCTCCACCGTATTGTTCTGTTGTATGTTGACTAAATAATTCTGGCAGCAATTAAGACCATGCAAGTGTCTTTTAGACCTTTTATCTAAAGTCTATCAATATAAATCACAGATAAGTATTTATCTTTTTACCTATTGTGTCTTTCTCTAATTGTTCTAATCTTTCATCTCAGGTTTATTGAAATAATCCACAGTTGAAACATTGAGTTAAGTACTGTGTAATTATGATCACAATGTAATTAGCAGCATGGTTAAAAAAACTAAAGCAGATGAACCATCTAGATGTCTATGCTTCTTTTCTTTAAATTTTTTTTAGAAATGATTGTGGAAAGCAATAAATATTTAATAATAAATCAAAGAATTATGATCACATTTATGCATTAAATTACTATTTGTTAATAAATTAATTGGGATTTTACCTGTTTAAACCACCGTTCACAACTTTATTTTTTTTTATAAATCTTTATTTTTTCTTTACTAAGTGCTCAAGCAATGTCTTGAAGAAAATTTTAATTGTTTTGGTTAAGTGTAGACTGTAATTCTAATTTCAGTAATGTGTAGGTCTTATGTAGTCTGTAATTCTAATTTCAGTACTGTGTAGGTCTTATGTAGTCTGTAATTCTAATTTCAGTAATGTATGGGTCTTATGTAGTCTGTAATTCTAATTTCAGTAATGTATAGGACTTATATAGTCTGTAATTCTAATTTCAGTAATGTGTAGGTCTTATGTAGTCTAATTCTAATTTCAGTAATGTATAGGTCCTATGTAGTCTAATTCTAATTTCAGTAATGTATAGCTCTTATGTAGTCTAATTCTAATTTCAGTAATGTATAGCTCTTATGTAGTCTAATTCTAATTTCAGTTATGTATAGGTCTTATGTAGTCTGTAATTCTAATTTCAGTAATGTATAGGTCTTATGTAGTCTAATTCTAATTTCAGTAATGTATAGGTCTTACGTAGTCTAATTCTAATTTCAGTAATGTATAGGTCTTATGTAGTCGGTTAATTCTAATTTTTCTTTGATGAATATGTCTTATTGTAGGTTTTTAAGGTCTGTAATTGTAATTCCTGTTATGTGTAAGTCTTATGAGGTCTGTAATTCCTGTTATGTACAGGTGATGGGGTCTGTAATTCTAATTCCTGTTGTGTAGGTTATGAGGTTTGTAATTCCATGAATGTGCCATGTTGATACCTTGAAAACCTGATCTCTCTTTTTTACTTTGTGTATGTTTGTTGAATCTGTCAGCTTTTATATTGGTTCTAGTTTGTTGGGGGTCATTTGACGTGTGTGTTTACAGGGCTTTGAGTTTGGCCATTTTTGATTGTTTGAGGTGGTACAATAATATAAATAGTGATGAACTATTTCAGGTTTCACATTATGAATATCAGCAGTTTGCAAAAAGACTAGCATTCCACCTAAGTTGATGGACTGAATGTCAGTGTTCAATTCTTTAATATGTGTATGTTGTGTATGTATGGTAATGGTAGACTTGTATGTTTTAAAATATTTATCAACCTGAGATTTTGTTACCATTGTGTAACGCAATATATTATCTGGTCTTTGAAATAAAATTTTTAAAAGAATGCTTTGTTTTCATGATTTTTATGAAATTATTTATTGCATGATTTGAGCCATAAGGTAGAGCTTTTAAACGTAAACCCATTTATGATTGATCAGCGCTCACAATACTAAATATGTTCTGGAAGTACGAGCTATATAATCGTCTAGTTCAGGGGTCGGCAACCTTTTGAAGCGGAAGAGCCAAAAGTTACAATTTTCAAAATTTCCCTGGTTTTAAAGAGCCACTAACATTTTTTTATTTCAAATATTTAATTTTTTTGTTAAGGTTATTAGTATTTGTGCAAGGAGCTGGAGAGCCGCATCTTGACATCAAAAGAGCCGCATGCGGCTCGCGAGCCGCAGGTTGCCGACCCCTGGTCTAGTTTTATCAGACCAAGGGAGGTAATTCATTGTGCAAAACTCTTTTAAAAATAATGTATCTGTTATTTCCCTTGGTATATCGAACGATCAGCAATTTTTTACAAGACATTTTCCACTCTTCTCTTAATGATTATTTAATAAAATCATTTATTTTCTCCTTTTACGTATTATTACGTAAAAGCTTGTTATTAAAATATTTTTAAATATTTTTTTTAAATACACTTCTATACATTTTTAATGCAATAGAGTTGCTTGACTAAAATGAATAGCGCAACAAATGAACGCACATAGTGTGAGTATTTTAAACGCGAAAAAAATAGTACTTTATACAGGACACGTTTATTAATATTTTAAAAAGTAATTAAGCATCAAATTAAGTAATGTTTAAGGCACATTGCAAGGTCATTGGATCTCAACCCACTTGCAAAGTTTGAAAGAAATCGGTCCAGTAAAAGTGAAGGTGACGGGTACTGGTCTAATTACCACCCACTGCCTTAAATGGGCAAGACTTAAAAATGTTTCTAAAATTATTTTTTTAAACGAAGTTTAATTAAACTAATAAAAAGGTTTAATTAAACTGAAAATAATGAAAATGTATTTCATAGTAAGCTGTTGAGTTTAATGATATTGCTTAATTATAATAATTAGACTACTCTACTAGCATCGATTTGCACAGCTATCGCCGTAGATGAAAATCATGCTTTTTTGTCAGCATGAAATTTATTTAGGTACTTAACCCAGTGGCGTCGCTAGGTTGAGTGTCACCCGGTGCGGCACCTCATGGTGTCACCCCCCCCCCCCCCCACTTTTTTTTTCTATTTTATTCTTCTTCTCTGTATATTTTTGCAGTTGGTGCCACATCACCCCCCCCCCCCTCACACACACCCGGTAAAAGCTTTAAAATGTTCACATTTAATACTAACGATGTTTATCTATAGGGCTGGTGAGTAGTTCACCAACCAGTTCTACGGCTCAATAAAACCTGCATGAGCTATAGACCTGTTTATTGACCTACTTACCAGCCCTATAGCCAGTTGTCAGTACAGCTAGTTGTAGCATTGTTTTCTCTATAGTTTGTATGTTTATGTCATGGTGTCAACGCTTCCCCCCCCCCCCCTCCTCCTGTCTTGATCGTCACTATGTACTTCATTACGCTTTAACTCTGATTAACTATTCATTGAATTGGCAAAAAAAACATTATTATATATATCTTGTAATTTTTTTGTCTTGGTGTCACACCCCCCCCCCCCCCTAATGGTATGAGTTTTCTACAGCTAGCTAGTGCCTTTGAACTACGACCGTCTCAAGTAATTTAACAAATGTGTAAAGAAATGTGTCACGTGATTTAAATTCCCATGACCGTCTGTGGCAGTAAAAAACTGGTCACGACGCGTGTCCCTATAAATAGCCACTACCATGTACTATCTGATAAGGGGAATAACTACAAATTTCACAAAGCTTCCAATCAAACGTACAATATGTCACCATGACTAAGTAGATTATTGGACATATTTAAAGGTTGTCTCTCAAATTACTGTAACAAAACAACTGACAGAATCACAGAGGCGTCGCTAGGTCGAGTGTCACTAGGTGCTCCACCTTATGATGTCACCCCCTCACTTCAACAAAAAATATATGCTCGAATAGGCATACATGTATTATATATATATATATATATATATATATATATATATATATATATATATATATATATATATATATATATATATATATATATATGTGTGTGTGTGTGTGTGTGTGTGTGTGTATGTATATATGCATATACATGTGTATATGGATATGTGTAAAAGCACAATGTATTTGTATTGTATATAGTTTATGTGGTTTTTATATAGTTTTTTTCTCGATGTCGAGTGGACGTTGTATTTTGTTTAGCTCATTACATTATTTGTCTGTGGAAGTTGCAATTGGTGTCATCCTCTACCCCCATTTTTCATAATGCCTTTATTTTTTTACTTACATTATATTAATCCACCTATGGATTCAAGTAAAAGAAAATCATTGTTTGCGTTGTAAATTGTTTACTTATTAGTTATTGAAAATATTCCACTTCTTTCCTCTGTAAATTGTGTAGCTGGTCAACCCCCCCCCCCCCTCCCCAGCCCCCACACCTCCCCAACACTCACGTTTGGTTGCTTAAACTGTGCACAGTTAATAGAATCGATGTTTATCGATATGAAGGCGTGTGGAAATAATGGGTTCAGGGAAACGGTGTAAAATTTCGATCAAATAAATTGCACGACATTTTTATTGATGATCGCTACCTTTCCTTCAATGTTGATTTAAAAAATGGAACAGTTGTGAAAAGGGAAGTTTTAAAACACGTGACATAATCCTTTTTCTTTTTTTAGTGTTCTTAAAAACAGCTACCGTTCTTTTTTTAAAAAATGAAGATTAACATAAGCTTATAATTTACTAATCTGGTCAAGTCGCTATTTATAGCTCCCGTCTGGACGTGTCCGACTTAAGATCCCCTTAGGCTGACCGTAACTGACACCGCACAGCGGAAGTGCACGACTTTCCACCTGTCAAAATGGCGTCCACATCACGAGCTGTGATGTTTATAAAAATAGAAAATATACTCTCGACATTGTGGAGGAAATCTTATTTATTTTCAATTGAACTAAATCTAAGTCTAATTAAAAATCAAATCTGTCACTGCAGTTTTCCTTAGCATTTTTTTTCTTTGTCGCTTTAGAAACAAACTTAGACCTAAGACTTTCTTGGAGCTATCATGCTGACTGTACTGTATACACTTACATTACATTGTGTAGTCTATACTTTTCTTGGAAATATTTGAGTGGGGTATAAATAGTGGTTTGGAAACTCCGTAATTTTTGTTGCTGTATTTTTGTTATTTTGTAGAAAAGAAAGTCTTGGCTGTTGTGGTGGTATGTCTGGTATAATGCCCACCTGGTATTTGTTGGTCAATAGTGAACACGTGAGAAACGGTAAAAATCTCTGTTTAATTATAAACCATTGAGACATTCTGTAGAAGTATCAACCTATATTAAGCACTCCACGTTGGACATTGTTGCTGCAATTAAAGAAACAATTATTGATTCTTTGATTATTTTCTTCGTTGAGAGAAATTAAATCTGCAACCTTTTCGACAATGTATTTATTTAAATAGTTTGTTTTTAGGTTGGGATAATGCTGTCAGCAATATTTTAAAGCACTGTCTTTTAGTGATTTGTTTTATTCCTTGTCTTTATGGCGACTCTTCTTGATAGTGAACGCTAGTATTTGCCATGAGTAGGCAGGGATCTTTAGTACGGTTTACACGTACATGTTGCGGGTGGATTGCATCATTAAACTTATTGAAGCAAGGTGTGGATCTTAAAGTAAAAGACATGTCCTCGTTGATCTTTTATTCCCTGCGACTGTCCTGTTTTGTCCTGCTATATTATCCACTAGGTGTCGTTGTTCTATCTGTCGGATGCTATTGTCCTGATTAGGTGGAAATATTAACCTAAACAGAACTTTATTGGATGCTACTCTATCCTAATGGGTCGTCTACTGAATGAATGTCCTGTTAACGTATACAATTGTCTTATATGGTCATTTTACGTATAATTTTTGAACTAGATTGAAAGACATTTGTTACCTGATTTTCTACAACTTTATACTGCCCTACTATATGTGACATCAAGCCCAGTTTCCCATATATTTATTTACAACTTGACACTGTCCTACTCTACTGGAGGACATAGTCCTACTTGTACCCAACACAACAGTCACAACAAGCCCATTTTCCCACGTGTTGTCAAGTCTACAGGAGATGTTAAAAAAAACGGTAGTTCATGACAAGGGTTAAGTCCCTTCCACAAGGCCGATAACCACGTCTGAAATCAATGGCCAATCAAGCCATCAATCACGCGGATTGGTTGATTAAAGGTGAATCCTTCACAAGGTTGGCCCCAGGTAGATTAGCAGCATGTCGTGACTGCTAATTAACATGCAATCACTCAATGTTTCAGGTAGGGGACATGACTTCTCAGGCGGGAGCGATAGTGATCCAGGTAACAACACCTGGATCAGTTGGATCAGGAACAATTACCGAATTCGGACGGGATCAATAAACGAATTATCATTGACCTCTGCCGTCGATTAATTTGTGATTTCTGCTCTTTGTTTACCTGAAATTAAAGTCATGGGTTTAAGCAATAAAAAAATCTTACACACTTATTGCTATAATTTAATGTGATCAAATACCCAGTGGCGTAGCAACCCCTCCTGGCGCCCGGGGACAAACTTTCAATTTGGCGCCCCTCCCCCATATATTTTGTATATTTATAATTAAAACTGCAGCTAAAATGAGCTTTGTTCACTCATTTTGGCGCTCCTAGGGTCGGCGCCCGGGACATATATACCCACCCGCCCCCTTTCGATACGCCTCTGCAAATGCCTCTGTCAGGGTAGATATTCATGTACGTTAGAACACATATATTCATAGTGTTTTCTTTAATTTAAATCAAGAAATAATCAACTGAGGTTAAGCTCAATCGCTGTGTACGTTTTTATAAGTGAGCTGGCTAACAGTTATTTCAGAATCGCGAATATTTTTAAAAGTTCAAATAGCTTTTTCTCTAATTACCGCTATATATAAAAGTAATGTAGCAGTTTATCGATCTATGGGCAGCTACATCTCACCTATATAATGTGTAAGGAATATATGTATATATATATATATATATATATATATATATACGCATACGCTAAGGAAAGTGTATGTCCAGATGTCCCTCGCTACGCTCTAATTCTTTTTTGCACGATCTTTTGCTCGCCTGAGGCCAGTGAAGCATGACAATAATTAAGCTTCGTTCCGATGAATGACGTCAATCTCAATTTTGATTGAACTTAAATAGAAAACGAAACACGGAGTAGAAGTATACAGGCGGCGTGGCTAACTTAATTTACCTGCTGGGGGGTAACTATACATACACACAGACAACCAGTGCGATGTCTCATCTAAGTTATACATTTTCTTTGTTTACAAATACTACAAGACATAGATAAGTCTTGATGATACATTGATGACAATCACCGCTACAGGTGTCCGTTTTGTCAACTTTTTCACCTCAAAGCACGAGAATAAAGGAATGAGTGTAGACTATAGCTATGAGGTTGTCTTATTATATCCCACTTGAGTTCAGCTAAACCAACAATCCAACCATTTGAGTTAGTGTCCAAGCCAAACACCGAAAATACTTCTACATATTAAAAAATGGGTTGAGCATTGTAGGTACTAAACACGATAAGTTATAGGATAGTCTCATAATTGTAGACACTGAACACGATAAGTTATAGAATAGTCTGAGACTTTTATGCACTAAGCTTCGAGAAGGCCATATTAGAGTACAGTGTATGTGCAATATCAGTGACCGATAATGCCATATAAATGGACTCTTCTTACAAAAAGGTGTGTTAGGCTACTGCTAGTAGGCTAAAAAGTAGAAAACATCAATATAACCGCTAATCATATCCCGGTCCCTAATCCAAATGCTAACCCAACTCCTACCATAGCCAGTATCCTAATTTCTGACCCTAGCAATGTGATTAAACACTAGTAACACGCTGACACACCTATTTTTGGGAGAGTCCATTGTCAGACACGATGTCGACTAGATTACAGGGGCCACCCCCCCCCCCCCCGCCTCTCTGGTGCCGCACGAGAAGATAAGGATTCTACTAACCTGGTTCTAATCCACGACACACAACAGCGTGTAGTCACGTGACGACACACAACAGCGTGTAGTCACGTGGTGCCCTGCCTTTGTGTAACTTGACTAGTGTGTTTGTTGTGGTGATGCCGAGGTAATTGGGTCAGAAATATGGACATTATTTACAACAAAGTTAGGTTAGAAATATGGACACCATTTACAACAAAGTTAGGTTAGAAATATGGACACCATTTACAACAGTTAGGTTAGAAATATGGACACTATTTACAACAAAGTTAGGTTAGAAATATGGACACTATTTACAACAGTTAGGTTAGAAATATGGACACTATTTACAACAAAGTTAGGTTAGAAATATGGTCACCATTTACAACAAAGTTAGGTAGAAATATGGACACCATTTACAACAAAGTTAGGTAGAAATATGGACACCATTTACAACAAAGTTAGGTAGAAATATGGACACCATTTACAACAAAGTTAGGTAGAAATATGGACACCATTTACAACAAAGTTAGGTAGAAATATGGACACCATTTACAACAAAGTTAGGTAGAAATATGGACACCATTTACAACAAAGTTAGGTAGAAATATGGACACAATTCACCACTAAGTTAGGTTAGAAATATGGAACCATTTACGGCAAACGTAGATTAGAAATATGGTCATTATTTACGGCATGTGTATATTCTTCAGACAATATTCACAGCGACCAAGTTAAATCATCCAAACAACATTCACAAACATTGTATTGTTAGCCAGAGACCATTTGTTGGTTTTCTAATAAACAGTTAAGTGTTTTGAGTTTCTCTAACACAACTCATCCCCAAGTTTCCAAACACAATTTCTAGCAAGTTCTAGGTTTCCCATATGTGGATGGACAACTGCATCTGTGAGTGATCTCTGTGGATCAGCAACTTTTGCACGCATACTGCAGCCCACATTCAACAGCAGATTACAACCTACGTCACCAGATAACCGATAAGAAATTAAAAAGACTCCAGCGCCATCAGCTAGTGCGTGATCAGGAACATCAACATTACACAATCACTGGCGGGTGTTACATCAACATTACACAATCACTGGCTAATGTTACATCAACATTACACTATCACTAGTCTATATTACATCAACATTACACAAACAATGGCGGGTGTTACATCAACATTACACTATCACTAGTCTATATTACATCAACATTACACAATCACTGGCCAATGTTACATCAGCATTACACAATCACTTACAGTCGTCAATGTTACATATAAATTTCACCATGTTTACATCAGCTATGTTGCATAACTTTTGAGTATAACATATTGATCAATTCGAACATATCAATATGTTTTGATCTTTTGGGAGACTTATAGAGTGGAGTTAAATATCTATGCCCCCAAATGAGATAGTGTACTAATACCCATTTTCTAATAGTCTAAAACTACTGACGTACACCAGCATGTAGTAACATCTACAATGGAAATGAAAGAACACCATTAGTTTTAAAATATTTGAACTGATCTATTGCGTAAATTAGAATGTTTTAAAATTTAAGAATAGAAAAAGAAAACAACTATCACTTAGCCTATTTCCTTTTTATACAAAGCCAAACACAGTCCATAAACAATCAATAAAAACATCCTGGAAAATTAATTAATGAATTAATAAACCCATTTTTTAGTCTACATCATGTTTTCAGACGGTGATAGGGTCAAACTCGATGTAATATTTCTTATCTGGAAAACAGAATTAAAAAAAACTAAATCACGGTTTGTCTTAAATAGTGCTCGGCGTCTCGACTTGGCTAGATAATGAACAAAGTTTGGTTGTTTGGCTAAGATGCAGGACTGAACGTGGCTGGTGTGAGTTCAATACCTGAAGGAATAACAATCAAGCCCTTTTATGGTAGGGTATTAGGTTTTATTTGTGTGCGGTTGATCAAGTTTTCTGGTATTTATAATTTTTAAAAATGTTAACTGTAGTTTGTTATGTGTAATAGATTTTAAAATGATAAACACATAATTTTGTTTAAAGTGTAGTGAGGTTAAGGGGGCTGTAAACCCCTTTAATAAAACCTTCAAAAGACAACTGACTCTCTTTAAGTGTGTGTGTGTGTGTGTCTATGTGTGTGAGTGAATGTGTGTGTGTGTGTGTAGGCCTATGTGTGGAACAACCATTTGAACCCACCCCCCTCTCACCACCCCTTCTCCACTCAAATGAAAATATCCTTTTAGCGCCCATTGGAGAATGGATGTATTAATGTATGGTGTGAGTGTAATTGTGTGTTTATGTATAATTTGATCTTCGTTATGAATGTGTTGGTATGTGTGTGTATGTATTGGCGGATGTATGTGTCTTTTAGTGTATGTTTCAGAGTGTTCATTTGCGTGTGTTATTGTGTGTGTTCATGTGTTTGTTCGTGCATGTGTGTTTCGGTGTGTGTATTTATGTTTGGTATCTATAAGTAAAAAAAAGTCTGTCATGATACAACTTGTGCGGTGTGTTGATGTGTGTTGGTGTCTGTATCGGTGTATGCGTATGTGTGTGTATTTGTGTGTGATGTGTGAAAGTCTATCACGATCCAAATTGTACCGCGAGAGTTAGTTTTCTCCATGTACACACCTGCGTTACGTGTGCTCTATTGATTGCAAGTGTTTATTCGTGATCGTGCTGTTCATATGTGTGTTGTGGGGTGAGTATATTTACATTGATATGTGCTGGTGTGTTGGGCTTGATGTGTATCTTTAGATAGTAAAACTATACTTGGCTATATTTTCAAGTGTCATCAATGTATTAAATTAATTTTCTAGCAACGAGAGCTCTTTCATTCGATACTGTGTAATTAATATTGACAAAATGAATAGATCAATTTGTTTCGTGTGGAGCGCTGGTCCAACTATCAAGTTGTGTGATCAAATAAACGACTATGAGCCTAGTCCAGTATACAAACACTATTCTAAACGTTCAGACATTCTTTCTTCATCGCCAGAAGAAACCCAATTTTAATCTTGTTACATCATTGATTCTAAACAGAAAAACACGCGTTTATAGCCAGATAAAAGTTGTACCACAAACTTCCTATTTCATTATTTACTTTGTCGGTCTAGTGTCGTTTAAAATATTTCCGAATCCAAAAAATTTTGATTACTGTAGCTATTGTACATCCACACGTCATTAGTTGTGCTATTGCCCGGTATTGTAGGGTCCTAAATGTCATATAAACAAGCTATTGGCTGGTATTATAGGTAAATAAATGTCATATAAACGAGTTATCGCCTGCTTTGAAGGTGCGTACGTGTTTGATGCAGTCTGGTATCAGATCCCAGGAGCCCACCAGTGTTTCTTCCAGACTTTTTTCTCCGGGGGGTGGGGGGGGGGCACTTGAAATTTTCGGGGGGGCGGTAGACTTTCTTCGGGGGGGGGGGGCGGACACTGTTAAAAGTATATATTTTCTATATAAATTATATAAATTTCATTTCGTTCGGGGGGGGGGGCGGTAAAACATTTTCGGGGGGGGGGGGGGGCTTCGCCCCCCCCCCGAAGAGATGCCTGGAAGAAACTCTGGAGCCCACGCTCAAGACGTTACTGTTTCTGTCTTCTGCAGATGAACCTGCTGCTGTACACTGCCCTGACGTCATGTCTTGTGGCCGCTACCCTGGGGATCGTTGACCCCTGTTACCCCGGGGTGTGTCAGGCAACTGACACACTGACGGAGCCCTCGCTCGCCTTCAGGAAATTGCTCTGCTGTGTTTTCTGTAAGAAAAGTTAGAACTTGTACCTGTACCTGTACAAGTACATATGCCTGAAATTTTACCGCTACCCATAGCTGTACATATACCTATACATATACATGTGCATATATATATATATATATATATATATATATATATATATATATATATATATATATATATATATATATATATATACATGTGTGTGTGTGTGTGTGTGTGTGTGTACAATATATAATATACAATATAACCTCTCTCTGTTCCCAGTTGGCAAACTTGGGATGGCGACGCCCCCACCCCCCACGCAAATGATGAAAGCCCAGCCAGCCCTAATGGGCGTGACAACCCAGAAGCCCACGACAACCACAGACATCTGCGACTTCCTGTGTGATATTCAGCTGGGGGGTGAGGCCTGTCTGTGCAGCCACCCCAGCCTGCCGGGATAGACAGACATTTGTCTGCCGTGGTAGACAGACATTTGTCTGCCGTGGTAGACAGACATTTGTCTGCCGTGGTAGACAGACATTTGTCTGCCGTGGTAGACAGACATTTGTCTGCCGTGGTAGACAGACATTTGTCTGCCGTGGTAGACAGACATTTGTCTGCCGTGGTAGACAGACATTTGTCTGCCGTGGTAGACAGACATTTGTCTGCCGTGGTAGACAGACATTTGTCTGCCGTGGTAGACAGACATTTGTCTGCCGTGGTAGACAGACATTTGTCTGCCGTGGTAGACAGACATTTGTCTGCCGTGGTAGACAGACATTTGTCTGCCGTGGTAGACAGACATTTGTCTGCCGTGGTAGACAGACATTTGTCTGCCGTGGTAGACAGACCTTTGTCTGCCGTGACAGACAGACATTTGTGTCACGGAAGTCATTGCTTTCTGTCGTAGCTCTAAATGTCTGCTCATACTTTGGCTGTATAAAGAAACATTACACAAGGAATTAAATTGATTACAACCAAACTCACTTTTCAATAAACTATTACGTTTTGTCATTTTACCCTTACTATATCATAAAATATATACACAAATATTTTTGTTTAAAAGACAAACTATTAGCAGCGTTTATACCTACTGCTTAAAATAACTAATTGGTTTTAAACCTGCATCCTTTATTTAAACAGCAGACCACTTTTCAACTTTTAAGAACAGCTCACTTATTAAACTTATTTTTCTAGTCATATTTGAGATTAATTGCTAGCTGTCCCATGGAACGATTGAACACAAAATAAACAACCTGACGGGGTAATTTTTTTTACCAGTGTCGGATAATAGAATCTTCTTTAAAAAAGGGGTGTTAGGTTACCGGTAGTTAACTAAATACATACATATGCTGCTAATATCAATGCGAACCCCGTCCCTAACCCTAACCCCAACCCTAGTCCTACCATACGCCTAACTAAAATTAGTTGAGATTACGAAACTACTAACAACCCAACACACCTTTTTTATGGAAGAGTCTATTATCTATTATCCATATCTAAAATCATCCAAGTTAACATACACATAATGATCGACTAGGTAATGGTACTTGGGAACATCAATGTATATTCTATTATTTATTTCAATTACTTCTGCTCTTGCTATGCTTTTGTAATGCTGCAGTGTATAAATAAAATTAGGAACACGCACAGCAATACACATAAATCCAGATACGCACACCAGCACAATTACGCACATCGACATAGATCCATACCCCTGCAGCATATTTGGCAATTTTTCGCTAGAGGATAAACACAGACCATGACGGCGCGCCGCGTATAAATTCCCTCGTGTTTTGTTTACATTTGTTTTACAGGGCGCGCGGCGAGCCGGCTGTAAGGCGAGTGGATTGGGCCGGTCTAGCGGGAGCAGGGAGGATTAGGGAGCCGGGGTCTGGTGTCACGGCTTCAGTGCGAGATGGTGTCGTGCTGACGTGACGAAGATGAAGAAGTTAAAGGTGCTGGGTAAATGGTTAGAATATGATGCTGTTGGCTGTTGGGCGGTTGTGTTAATGAGTTGTTGGGTTGTCGGCTGTTAGAGCTATCGGCTGTTGGGCGGTTGGTTAATGGGTTGTTGGGCTGTCGGATGCTGGACTGTCGGATGTTCGTCTCTTGAGTGTTAGGCTGTCGGCTGTTATGGCTGTCGGCTCATAGAACTGTACGTGTTGGACTGTCGGTTGTTGGGCTATTGAAATTTGAGTTGTCGGCTGTTATGGCTGTCGGCTGTTGGGCTGTCGGTTGTTGGGCTGTCGTATGTTGGGCTATTGAAATTTGAGTTGTCGGCTGTTATGACTGTCGGCTGTTGGGCTGTCGGTTGTTAGACTGGCGGCTGTTGGATTGTCGGCTGTTGGACTGTCGGCTGTTGGACATTTAAATTAGCGCTACTTACCAGATGGCTAATGAACATCTGGGAAATACAAACAGACATTTTTTTGTAAAATGCGTTTATTTCTGGTTAAGTTTAAAGCGGACAAAATAAAAACTCATTGTGTCATAAGTTGCTCTGATTTGTCACATTAACTATTTGCTAAAGCGGAAATTATTCAATTTGGTGGGGTTACTGAACAAAAATTGTATCCCTTGACAAACATGCAATATGACAAATCAAAGTTGTGTTAATTTTTTTCTATTAAATTTAGAACTAAGAAAATAGTGAAAAAAAATATGTCATCAAACATTAAGCTTAACAAAACCCCATTAAATTAAAAGATTGTGTTAATGCACAAAAATCATTGATAATGTTCTGGAAACTAAATAATTCAAAATTCTGAAAAGGACTTCATTTAGATGTAAATAGTTCTCAAGTAAAAATCCACCAGTTTTTTATTATAATTTTTTTTCAATGTAATATATTTTTAAAGCCTACTAAAACAGTTCTTTAAAAAAAATTAGAACTTAAATAACTTAAAACTACTTTTTATTTATTTAAAAATAATAATATTTAAAACCTAAAAATAAATCCTCCTTTCAGCTAGGTGCACGTGTTTGGTCTGTAAGGCCGGGTTTACGGGCAGGACGGGAGATAATTCTGTGAACGTCAATGGTGTTTGCGAAGGGAGACAAGCCGTGAAATCTGTGTCAGTAATAACTAATTTTGTTTCGAAATTCCTGTCGAGACGGCGACCACTAAAACTGGCTAGTTACCAGGGGCACGCAACACTTGATACTTTTCAGCCGAGAGCGCAGATTTAGGGGCGATAATCAAAATATTATGTGAAATAGTAATAACCCTATGAAATGTACACCTGACTGGTGGTGGAGTTGGCTTGGAGGGGAGGTGGGGAGGGGGAGGGTGAAAGGGGGAAGGGTGGGGTAGTGGAGTCAGGGAGAACCTAATGCCGCGTCATAATTTGCTAATCAACGTTGTTTTGAAACAGAACACTGGGATAGACTTTTGTTGGTGTTTGCTGTCTTCAAATACGACGTGGTTAATTGTTACTTCAAAGCGGTGGGAGAAACAAATTATCGGGGGCTTTTTGTCGCTGCTAATGCCCTCTACTTGTGCTGGGATATGGGATATGACTCCCCAATAGATACCAGTATAGTCCCTCATGGGTTATGGGATATGGCACCTCAATATAGTCTCTTCAAATATGGGATAGGTCTCCTTAATATAGTTTCTCTTGGGTAATGGGATATATGTCAGCCATTAGGTATCATGATAGTCTCCATGGGATATGGGATTTGACCTCCCAGACTTTTGTGGGACATGGTCACCCAGTATAGTCTCTCATGAAATGTGGGATATGGCCTCTCGTGGGATGTGGGATAATACCTCTCAATATAGTCTCTTCAGATTTGGGATGTGGCCTCTCAATATAGTCTATCGTGGGATATGATTTATGGCATCAAAGTATAGTCTCTCATGGGATGTGGAATATGGCCCGCTATAGATCTCACCTATCCCGCCTATCTCTCCAGCGTTTCTCTGAGATTGCGACCTCAAATGGTCCTACCTATGGACACATCTTTTAACGTACTGTACTCAAATTTTCATTCATATAAATCTAGAGCTACAAAACATGATAATGGAAGAACATCTTAATCTAAACTGTATTGTGTTTAATAACGAAGATTCATTTTCGAACCTGACGATTCATGGGGAAGTAGAGTTCACCTGTTTCTGGAGGGATAGTGTGGTCAACCTTTGTTTTACTCAGGGACGTTCTTGAAACTGTAAACTGGATTCGAACTCTAGACTTTCGGGTTAGCAGTCTAGTGCTCTACCGCTAGGCCACGCCGTCCCATGTATTAAATAAGTCACTAAAATTAGTGTTAAAATACAACAAAGTAAAATGAGAGTAGTGAAAATGAGAAGATGGCCACCGCCTATCAGATGATGTAGAGGGAAGTACAGCTCAGGCTGAGATGGAGAGTGATCATGGGAGTAAAAAAAAACATGTTTGAAAGGAAAGCATATTTTATTTGAGGTGTTTCATTTTACCGTACACATCATCTATGCTTATAATATTACACCATTTTAATTTTTATATCTCTAGTTATAGGCTGTTAGGACCCTCCCTATTCTACAAAGAACATCGCATTTTTTAAAATCTTTTTTTTTAATGTCTCAGACATGTAATTTACGCGTCAGTTTGCCTTGTATGTTCGCTTTAGTATTACAGTTTTCAGCATCGGCTTGTGAGGACTGATACAGATTTACAATAGTAATATTTCTTTCTTAATTGTAGCCTGCTTTCATTCATTTAAGATGGTTTACTTATACATAGATCTAATACAAAACGTCTAAATATAAATAAAAAATAAAAACCAACCTGAAACTGAAAATGCAAATGTGTAATTAAATGATGATTCAATGGATTTTTTTCTCGGCGTGCGTGGTGGGCTGAAGGGACGGGGGGGGGGGGGGGGGGTGGAATTTGGGTTTTTTAGTAGAGCAGGAAAAAAATGGGATTACCGAGAATTAAAATGATACAAATTTTAAGCAATCGGAATAGTTATGTTATTATAATATTAATGAGACACATCAAAGCAAACATAGTTAAATCGAAATAAGTTGTTATCCTGTGGAATTCTTGATCTCTAAATTATGTAAATTTCTTTCTAGTCTAGACATTAGTTGTGTAAAAGATCTGTGGTGTAAATTTTAAAATACAGTCACTTTATACTCCTAAAACTTATACAAAATAAACATTAAATAATTTGTTTTATTTATAAAATAGTAGTGATTCTGTTTTAAAACGATAAATAATAATTATTAAGATATTGTGCTATTAACGGTTTTCTAAGTGCTTTAAATCAGTTTTTTGATGATACTTTTCGGTTGTATCCCCTATTTAGTTTTATTATTCAAATGGGAACTAACTAACATAGTAAGTATTTTACTTTATACCTGATTATCTCTTGACTTTTTACAAGCTTTTATTTGACTCACTTCCTCTGTCGTCAGTCGTCAGTCTGTCTAGATCGAAACGCCGGAGTGAAAATTCGGACACTTCTACTTGGCCGATACGATTCACATTTGGCACGTGGGTCAAGATATAAAGACAATGCATAGTGACATTAAATTTGACTTAATTAAATGCCTAATTAATTTTTTATGAATTAATTAAAATTTGGACCGAATTAGTAGGCATGTCTATCAAACCACACCACACGCGTCATCACGTTCAATAGCTGCACCATCAGGTTCAATAGCTGCGCCATCACGTTCTATAGACGCGCAATGGTTTTTAGTCATGTAACTCTATTGTAAATAAAACATGTAAAGTACTGAAAAAAAATTCATAAAAAACCTTTTAATAACAAGCTTTTGTGTACTAATGAACTAAAAAGTAGAAAATAAATTATACACTACTTTTTAAATTACTATAAAGAAAAGCGTGGGTCTCTTCTCAAATATTAGTAAAGGTTTCCAATAGGTACTAAAGTGACCCACGCTTTTCTTTATAGTAATTTAAAAAGTAGTGTATAATTTATTTTCTACTTTTTAGTGCATTAGTACACAAAAGCTTGTTATTAAAAA